TAACAAGACCTCCAAATTGGAGAAGAACAATCCACGGTTGTCAAGGCCTCCTAATGGGAGAAGGATTCCCCAAGTGAATCATCAAGACCTCCGCATCCTTTGGATTGGGGAAGATCTACCTATCTCTCAAGATCCATCTCTCCTAGAGATTTAGATGAAATACCTTTGTATATTTTCCTTTGTAGTTATTGAATGCTTGAGATCCATCTCTTGCCTTTGTGGTCTGAGGTTACCTTTTTTCATCTTGTCCAATTAGTGTTTCTCTTGTGTTCTTCATGTTGTTCGTGATTTCCCCAACTCCACCTCCAATTTGTGAAGATCGGGCAAAATAGGGCTTGATTCTACATCAGCAACTCCGGCCACCTGGCACGCGCAAGATTAGACTACAAACATTAGGAGAAACTCTGCACATACTTGTTGACTCTTGATTTGAGGCCCCACCATGCAAAAACAACCATCAAGAATCAATACGCAACCTAGAAATGCTCAATGAGTAGTCCACATTCACACATGGTTGGTTTGTATCTATTCTCGATGGTTGGTTTGTATTAATTTTCCTTCGGAACTGACGAGGCAAATCAAATCTTTTGCCTCCATATAGAAATATTAATAAAAAAATTAAACCAAGATCAATTGTTTTGGATTAAAAGAATTGGTATCGGTAGTGACCCCGTCATGGCTGGTTACATGTCTAGGATATGCCAGATGACATTGGGCAGATGAACACTTGGGCAACTTCACTTGCCATTGATGCAATACGCCCCTTGCCTTGCGAGTCACAAGTTCTGAATGTGTCGTTGAGTGGTAGCTCGACACATCTGAGCGAACTGCTTGAACTGAAATGAGCCCCAAATAAGCATCCCAGGACTGTGAACCGGCAGCGGTGGCGACGGTCTCGCCTCCTCCTTCCCCGATTTCGGCGGTCCCTGTGGCTAGCTCCCCATGCCGCCTCCGCGCGGCTTCCTCCCCTCCCCCCCGCCGTTTACCCCTCGTTCTGTTCTCCACGCCTCTACCCCCGCCAACAAGTTCTGGGCTCTTGGGTCCAAGGACTCGGACTCTGACCCCGGCTCTCCTCCTCTGCCCCTCGCCCTGCGCCTCCGGGTGTGCTGCCCGACGTCTCTGCTCTGATGCGTGCCGTAAATTCGCCCCCGACGGTTGTGGCTGCCCTGCCCCTGCTTCGCTGGCCGTGGATGCCTGGACTCGCGTTTCACGCAGGCGCGTTGAGCTCCTCCGCCGTCTCCGGCCCGTGGCATTCTTGGTCCTGGGCAGTGCTGTGCACAGGTGTTGGACCTGGTTCCCCTCCCCCCTCCTCGGTTGCCTCCTCCGTTTGCGCTCCGTCGGTTTGCTCGCTGGCGGCCTCGCCGACGGCGGCCTGGTCGTCTGAAAGCCTAGATCTGGTGGTGCCCTCCGTGGTGGTGCTAGATCCTGGGCGTCGGGCCTCTGCGCCTCCCAGTGGGCCTGGTGGTCCTGGACCCCTCTCCCTTTCCAGTGTGTCAGATTTTCCCCTATTACCTCTCGTGGTTCTTGGGCCTCGGGTGGCCCATGCCCATCCCCACGCTCCCCCTCTGGCCCAACCCATCAGCCCCGGCCTAGCGCGGTCGGTGTATTTATGGGTTCCAAGGGGCACGCTCCCCCCCATTTCTAGGGTTCCCAGCCTCTCTCTCTCTGACCTGCGTCGCCACCGCTTCCCCATCTGCGTCTTCTCTAGATCTAATCCTCCTCCGCCCCTCTCCCTCTCGTTCGAGGAGGTCATCTTGATGGACCGCTCGTGCGGCTCCTCCAGCGAGGCCTTGTCCGGCCAGAAGCGCCGGCGGGAGAGCTCTGTTGAGGGGGAGGTGGATCTGGAGTACGAAGCGGCCCTACGCTCCAAGCTCCAGGCGGACCGTGCTCGGGCGGAGGGGGCCGCGGTGGCGCCTGGCGGCCCTTCGTCCCTTGGATCTGGCTCGGTGGTGGTTGGCCCCTCTGCTCGCCATGGTGGCTCTTCATCGCGTCCTTCGGATCCCTGGGAGGTGGCAGCCGCGATGAGTAAGGCTAGCTCTGCTGGCCCAACCTCGCGGCCCCCTCCTCCTCGCGACATTGCGGCCTCGTTGTAGGCTCCGGCACGGGCCCCGACGGCCTCTGGTGGTGGTCCTGGGCGTTTCATGCCTCGTGGCTCCTCTGGGGCAACGGGTCGCCGCCCCCCTCCGGCGGTCTGGGTCCTGCCTCTGCTTCCGGTCCCTGTGGTGACAATATTCTCCCTCCGCCCCCCGCTTCGGCGCGCGCCCCTCCTCCAGCCCAAGTGGCCAACCCACCCTCACCTGCTTCGCCTGCCACCGTCCTGGTCATTTTCAGTTGCGTTGTCAAAACCCTCCCTTCTGCCTCATTTGTAGAGAGGACGGCCACCTCACGGTCGATTGTCAAAACCGCCTCAAACCCCCCGCATTCGTGCATTACGACCTCGGACTTCCTGGATGTGCTTTCTTTGCTCTCAATCGCGAGGTCCCTCAAGTGGTTCCCATTCCTTCTCTTTCTAATGCTGGCATCATTTTAGTCAAGGACAAGAAAATCTCCCCCCAGGTTCTCCTTGATGAACTCCAACTATGGGACGATGGTGGATGGGATAGGCAGATCTGCCAATTATCTGAGTATGAATTTGCTGCAATTTCCCCCTCTAAAGTAAGCTTGTGGATGATATCTTCGTGCACCAATTTCACCCTTCCCCTCAACCAACTTGTCGTCTCTGTCAAGGCCGCTTCCAATGGTTCCAAAGCCATATCACCTCTGTTTGATGTTTGGGTCCTCATCGATGATGTCCCTC